TGAAACAGTTTTTTTTTTTTCTCTTTCTCCTCCTACAAAGTGCTGAATGTACCAAGAATTTAAAAAAATGAATAAATTTAAATTGGTTACCAGCTTGTCTGCTTGCATGTTTTTGCTGAGTCATTTCTCACGAAGAAGCATCATGACCTGGCTGAGAGCCACTGAGCTGACGAGTGTTTTTAAACCTGTTTTAATGATGAATATATTTGGAAAAGTATTTGAAGCATGGACAGTTAAGTGCAGAGGAAAATCTTTTTTTAAAAGGCATTCAGGTTTGTTATGCTGAACTTGTCTGAACACAAATGAAAATATTTATTACAACATACAGAAATTACAGTAATGTTTTTCCCCCAAATTGTACAGATTCACGTAACAAATCTTACAGTAAAGTCAAATTTAAGTGCAAAATGTTTGCTAGCGATAATATATGTACAAAACAGTTTAGCAAAAATCCCTTGTTCTTCTACAGCAAACAGTAGCCACATTGGGGTAAAAAAAGCAGTAGTTTCTTTCCCATTCCCTTATAACTATGGTACAGTAATAGTACAAGAAGTACAGCAGGCAGTACATGTGACAAAGGGGACTGATCCAAGTCAAAGACTAAAAGGAATCAGTGGAAATGTCTTAATATCAGCAGTTTCATCTTGGAAAAAAAAAGACGGAGCACAAGCACACGAGAGAACGACAGCATGTTAAGACCAGCTTTTTCACAACATCTACAGCTGCATAGGCGCTGATCAGTGTGTGCTGTGAGGGGGAATGTTGTGTGTGGCGCACACTCTGCCCATGTGACAGGTGTGGCAGAGGAGATGAGAGTCCAGAGGGAAGCACTGCGAGCCAGGCTTATCGGAGAGCTGCTTGCCACACTCCTGAGGGAGGGGAGGGGGGAGAGAAAAAAGACGCAGATAAGGACAGGAATGCACACGGAGGAAGTGAGGTCAGCCATCAGAGCACTTCATAACAAAAGTCATATCAGAACTATTTCTGATTATGGCTCTATAATGGGGTATTTTAGCAAGTAGAGGGACAAAATATACAAGATAGTTGTTAGGGAAGACTCACCTCACAGTGGTAGCACTCGAAGTGATAGTCCTTGTTCATAGACACGACCCTGAGGATCTCTTCACTGCCCTGAACACACAACAGGAGAGTAATGGAGACGTCTGAATGCAGATGAAGGGAGTTTGCTTTGACTATAGCCACACTTCCAGTTGCGGTGAAGAAGTATGAACCACCATAAATATATGCAGCATAAACAGATTTTGAATGAACTTTATTACACTGGTTGTAAAACTGTGTCAAAGTTAACTGAAAACAATGCAGTCACACATAATGGCCCAGGTTACATTTGAGAGAGATAAAAAAACTCACCTCAGTAGGTAAGATGGGTTGTAAACAGGCAGCGCACTTCGGGGCAAAAGTCCTGCAGGACGACGGGAGAAAGTTTATTTACTCACTTTACTTTATGCCCTCAGCTGACTGAGGGGGGCATTCTTCAAATGTTATACACACAATAACTCATTTCCATAACGTCTCTGTTACACATTTACACTGGTAGTCACACCAAGCTTTGTTTTAAGTCATGGTAAGTCTCACTTGTTGTAGTCTGCCACGCAGTAGATGTTGCTCTGGTGGTCCACAGTGAAAGGCACCCCATCCAGAGCCTTGGAGCACACCACGCAGCGAAAACAGCCGGGGTGGTACGAGTTCCCGAGAGCCTGCAGGATCTGAGAGCAAACACCGAACCATTATGTTATTATTACGTCATTTATAAAGATGTTTGTGGTTTCATTTTTTCCAAATATCTCCACAGATGGCCTGCATTGTGTGTACAGGTTTTTAGACAGTATTTGTTTTAAATTGGTGCCACTACACTCTTGTGTGTCATTTATTAATGTCTCCCTACATTATCTACATTTTTATTCTTTGATATGTTTTTGATTGTTTTAAAACATTTTGGAATTGATGCATGCTGTTATAATAAACTCATCTTCTTTTGACAAGATGTAATCATAACAATCGATCTCCATCTCCTTATTTGATTTAAAGTTTCCATTTGTCGCTCAAAACTTGTGTAGATAATAATTTCTCCTCTAACGTACACCTTGAATACCTCCCATCTCCTGCAAGAGTTTGATTTACGTTTGATTTATATTTTAAAGTAGTTACAAATACATTCCTCAGCAGATTTAATAAAATATTTCTTCCCTTTCTGAAGAAATATGTCCAACTCAGCAACAACTTCTCTCGCTCACAACTCGCTCGCAGTGAGACTGTGATCAATCTTGGATCACACACTCACTGCGAGCTTTCTATTTTTATTATGGGTATTATGTGGTTCAAATATGGTAAAAAAAAAAAAAAAAAGTCTTAAGCTAATCACTACACAGCCTTATTTCTTTATTTATCAAAAACCCCAAAGCAAACATTCCACTGAGAATCTGCCGTGGGAACCAAAAGAGGAGCCAACAAAAAGACGTCACTGAATTTCTCTATCCTCTGGAGGAAAGTTCTGGAAAGGCATTCTGGGAAACATAGGATGCAAGTGACTAAAAATTACACAGGATCACCGAGAGTACACTTCCTTTAAACTAACATAAGTCAAAGTGTTATGGAGGTATTTGGGCTCTTTTTCACGTGGCACACACACACACACACACACACAGACACACACACACACACAACCCTCACCTGTTCGAGAATAAGGTGGCCACACACATTACACTTCTCAGCAGCAGCCTGGAATCCCGAAAACTGTAATTACAACAAAGAGATTACCATTAGCAGAAAATCAAGACTC